TGCCATAACTTATAGCAAAAAACAAATAATAATTCAAAACGGTATTAAAACCCAATATAACTCATAACAAATATATCTTCGTTGTGACTAATAGTTACCCTCAGAGCATTCAGTGGATAAATCTACCACTCCCTCACCAATCATAAAGTGAACTGATCCACTGGGGGATCCATATTGAGATGGAAAAGTGAATAAATGTAGAAAATAAAAAACCAGTGAAAGAGAGAAAAAAAAAGTCCTAATGGGACTACATTAAAGTGAAACATATTGGTAAAAAAAATAAAAAATGGTGAATCCCTAAATGTGGCATCAATTATCACTCTGACAATAATGGTGACCACAGAGGCTATAAATTTGCCAAATAAAAGTGAAAAATAGGTGAAAAACTCAGTGAATCCCTAAATATGGAATTAATTATCACACAATAGTGACAAGTGCAGTGATTGACAAAAATATGCTAAAAAATAAATATACATGATAATATGATATCACTAGAAATGATTAACCAAAAAAAAATGTTTAAATTGTGGCATGAAATAAGTCCAAAGGAAAAACACCAAATATTCCAACGATTTCAGAAAGTGCAGGTGTTAAAGTGAATATGCATGACAACCAATAGGAAATAATCCATAAATGGCTCACTCACCTCCTTGAAGTGACCCTAAAACGCCTGTTAAAAGACAAAAGCGACCTTCACAGATATCCCCTTCACAGGTTAATGGAAGAAGCAGCAGGGTCCCCTCCAGGGATGATTTAGTAAGATACAGTCAGCTCACATTAAGGCAGGGGTGTCCAAACTTTTTTCAAAGACGGCCAGATTGGATGAAGTGAACATGGTGGAGGGCCGAATATTTTCCCGAACATTCTTTGAACCATTACAATTAAATGCAAATAAATTATTTTATGCCAAGTTAATTGCAAACGACATACTTTTCATTTCATAACATTAAGATCAACTGACAGCTGAGTTTTCACAATGTATTGAAAATAAATTTTAAAAAAACTTACCTGTACTAATGTGAAGGGTGAAAAGGTAGCTGGAGCTGAAGTCTCTGCTCGGCAGCCGGGAGGGGAAGAGAAACACACTTCACGCTGGAAGCCCGGCCCTGACGTCACCACCCTCTGTCGCTCCCAGCGCGGCGCAGTTACGCATGCGCACTGCTCTCAAGCAGAAGACTGTTTGTCACAGAAGGGAGGGCTGTGCGACAGCCGCATTTACACAGACCAGGGAGAACGCGCCGCAGTCAGGCATGCGCACTGCCCTCTGCTCTCAAGTAGAAGACTGTCTGGCATAGAAGGGAGGGCCGTGGGAGGGCCACATTACACAGAGCAGGGAGGGCTGTTGGAGGGCCATATTAAACCTACCCCCGGGCCGTAAATGGCCCGCGGGCCGGACTTTGGACATGCCTGCATTAAGGTCTTGCTATCTATTTACTAATGTTGGCCGCATAAGGATTAAAAATAGTGTTGATTGAGAGAGTGACACTGGTGTAGCGGACATATTTCTGTCGTTCAATCACTGCACTTGTCACTATTGTGTGATAATTCCATGTTTAGGGATTCACTGAGTTTTTCATCTATTTTTCATTTTTATTTGGCAAATTTATAGCCTCTGTGATCACCATTCTTGTCAGAGTGATAATTGATGCCACATTTAGGGATTCACCATTTTTGTATTTTTTTACCAATATCTTTCACTTTATTGCAGTCCCATTAGGACTTTTTTTTTATCTCTTTCACTGGTGTTTATTTTCTACATTTATTCACTTTTCCATCTCACTATAGATCCCTCAGTGGATCAGTTCACTTTATGATTGGTGAGTGAGTGGCATATTTATCCACTGAATGCACTGAGGATAATGATTAGTCACAACTAAGATATATTTGTTATGAGTTTATATTGGGTTTTAATACCGTTTTGAATTATTATATTTGGTTTTTGCTATAAGTTACGGCAATATTTAGGGTACCGCTGCACCATACTTTTTATAATTTGCAATTATCCATTTGGTATATGGTTGGGTGTTAGCAGCCCCCTCCTCTTAAATATCAATTGTGTTATTTAGTAGCGCAGGAGGTCCTTTCTGTGTTTTCACAAATCAGTTCATATCACTCATAACGTGCTCTGAGCTCAAATGTGTGCTTTCTGCGAATTTACCACTTCTTGTTTACATCCTTTTCAAAAGTAGTAAATAGAGAAGATACCTGGATTGTGTTTTCCCGGTTAGAGTGTTCATTAACACACTGGTGTTATTTTAACCATTTTCTGATTATATGCAATTAAATCACTATAAAAGTTAAATGTAGAGTTGGTATACATCTATTCGCTGATGAATGCACACCTGCTCCAAACATAAGCCTTAAAGCGGTATTAAAGTAAAAAAAAATTTCTTTGATAAGATGGCTGCATTAGTCTTCGTTTTGGCTTTCTTTATTTTCACCTGGTGATCTAGCCAGTAAGGCTGATGTTTTTCAGCTGAACAAGCTATCCTGCAGATGTAGCGGTTAGAGGGTTGGGACAAATCATTTACCACTGACAGGGGTACTTACAATTATCTGCTTTTATTTATTTATGTAAAAACTTTATTCCAAAAGTGACAAAACTGTTACTGTGAATGCTTAAAAGGTGTTAGTTGGAGTTTGGCTTCAATTTGTTAGTGTATCTATATCTGCTAGTGCATCCAACACCACCCTCCCCTTAAACAATGCTGCTCTCCAAAGGTGTTTCCGCTCCTCCATCCAGAGTAGAGGTACCCTAATACAGTAAGTGTGTTTACTAGCCAGATAACCAGGTGAAAATAGAGGAAGAAGCCTAAAAAAAGAAAATGAATATAACTACTGCATCCAAGGACTGGTAAGCTGCATTATATTACATTTTTGTTTTTGGTTACCGCTAAAGGCTGATCATAGATGGATCAAAATGTGGCCTTTTTAGTAGAGACGGGCTGAATTTCAGTCTATTTGTGGCCATCCCTATTCTACAAAAGTAAATTGCAGTCATTGGCTCCCGACGCTGTCAATCAAATAATGTAGTGGTGGTGGGGCCTAGCTGCCCGGTCTGTGTCGATAGACGTGGACAAGGCGGCTTGTAAACAAGCCAACATATGTGCCCTATGGGGGAACCCGCTGGAGAAGGAGGGGTCTGGCGTGCTGGCGGGGGACCCCAGAAAAGGAGGATTGGGGCTGGTCTGTGGAAAACCATTGCACAGAGTGGGTAAGTCACTTCCTACAGCCATAGGTGCTCCATGGGCTATGGAGGAGTAGCTGGAAGACTCTGCTGCCTTACTGGTGGGTTCTGTTTCTCCTCCCCCCACCCCCGATGCAGTGGCACAATGAGCAATTCTACCATAGCCAACTTGTGTTGTCTATAGACCCCAAGATGCTGTCTGTGGTGGATTGTATCAACCATGTGGGGGCTGTGTTTGGGATGGCTACTGCTGCTGTTCTTCTGGTCTGTGATGCCTGCCTTGCCTCCTGGCCAGTCACTATTCGGCTATTATCACATATCATGTTGTGACTCTTTGTATCTTCTACCACTGTTGCTGAGCTAGCATAGACGTGGATGGCTGCATTTATTAGAAAAAAAAAGAGGATACTTCTGGGGCTGTTGAGGTGGTGGCTGTCTCCTCAGTTACTCACAAGCCAGCACATTCCGGGGCCGGAGGAGTTTCATCTACCTGTCAATGTCCTGGAGCTATGGGCGATCAGACTATATCGATCCACAATGTATGTCTATGGGCAGGCAAATGTAAATGGATATACCCTGGTACTTCATGCCGGTGGACTACTTGGTGACAAAAGAAATTCACAGAAAGAATGAAAGCCAATGGCTGCAGCTGCTGATTGAATGAATGCTTTCCAGCAGTCCCATTCGAAAAAGGTTGATCTACCGATCGACTTCTGTTGTAATGGGCAGGCCACACACAGATCGAAATTCGTCCAGTCCCTGCTAAACCAGTTGAATTTCGTTGTGTGGGTAGCCACCCTAATTCCTTATCCACATCTGAAGACTGGTAAACTGAAATATATTACTTTTTAGTTTTTTGCTTTTGTAACTTTTTAAAGACTAATTTCAGTTTGTGGAAGAAAAATAATCCCATTTGAGGCCATCTATGTACGTTTCAAGGATTTCAACAAACTTTGCTGTACATTTGTTACATAGTTAGTCTGGACTGGATGGACTTTTGTCTTTTTTCAGCCAACCATAAAAAAATTTATAATCCTACATCCAGAGTTGATCCAGAGGAAGGCAAAAAACCCAGCAAAGCCTGAACTAATTTGCTCCGGCAGGGGAAAAAATTCCTTCTTGATCCCCCCGAGAGGCAATCGGATATTCCCTGGGTCAACTTTACCTATAAATGTTAGTATCCAGTTACCGTATTTTTCGCTCCATAAGACACACCTGACCATAAGACGCACCTAGGTTTTAGAGGCAGAAAACAGGGAAAAAAAATTCTGAACTAATGGACTGCAGACATAGTACAGGGGATGACCAGAGACTGCAGACACAGTACAGGGATGACCAGAGACTGCGGACATAGTACAGGAGATGGCCAGAGACTGCGGACATAGTACAGGGGATGACCAGAGACTGCGGACACAGTACAGGGGATGACCAGAGACTGCGGACACAGTACAGGGATGACCAGAGACTGCGGACACAGTACAGGGATGACCAGAGACTGCGGACACAGTACAGGAGATGACCAGAGACTGCGGACACAGCACAGGAGATGACCAGAGACTGCGGACACAGCACAGGGATGACCAGAGTCTGCGGACACAGCACAGGGATGACCAGAGTCTGCGGACACAGCACAGGGATGACCAGAGACTGCGGACACAGCACAGGGATGACCAGAGACTGCGGACACAGCACAGGGATGACCAGAGACTGCGGACACAGCACAGGGATGACCAGAGACTGCGGACACAGCACAGGGATGACCAGAGACTGCGGACACAGCACAGGGATGACCAGAGACTGCGGACACAGCACAGGGATGACCAGAGACTGCGGACACAGCACAGGGATGACCAGAGACTGCGGACACAGCACAGGGATGACCAGAGACTGCGGACACAGCACAGGGATGACCAGAGACTGCGGACACAGCCCAGGGATGACCAGAGACTGCGGACACAGCCCAGGGATGACCAGAGACTGCGGACACAGCCCAGGGATGACCAGAGACTGCGGACACAGCACAGGGATGACCAGAGACTGCGGACACAGCACAGGGATGACCAGAGACTGTGGATAGTACAGGGGATGACTGCTGACCTTTGGGGAGGGGGGGAGCGGGTACCTGAATTTGACAGGTACCCGCTCCCACTTCCGCGTAGTTGTTCTTTCATCTTACCTGTTCCTCTATCCAGCCGCGCGCTGTCTTCCCGGCTTCTGTAATGGCGCTCGGCATGACAGCCGGGTGCCCAGTGCGCATGAGCGAGAAGCATTTGCGCTTTGTGATTGGTCCGGCGGCTTCTGGGATCTGTCATGTGTCCCAGGTAACGCCTTACCATTCACAAAAAGCACCGCTTCTTGCTTGGCACCCGGCTGTCATGCCCACACTACAGAAGCCGGGAAGACCACGCCGTTGGATAGAGGAACAGGTAAGATGAAAGAACAACTCCACGGAAGTGGGAGCGGGTATCTGTCAAATTCAGGTACCCGCTCCCCCTCCCTCCCCAAAGGTCAGCAGTCATCTCTATAAGGTCCCGCTGTAGAGCTGAGCGGCCGGCCCGGTATTCTGACACGGCGGCAGTGGAAATACCGGACCGGCCTCTCCATATTCGCTCCATAAGACGCACTGACATTTTCCCCCCTTTTTTGGGGGGAAAAAAGTGTGTCTTATGGAGCGAAAAATACGGTATATTCTGTGTATCTAGGAAATTATCCAGGACTTTTTTTAAAGCAATCCACTGAGCTGGCCAGAACCAACTCTTGAGGGAGTCTATTCCACATTTTCACAGCTTTTACTGTGAAGAAACCTTTCCGTGTTTTGAGATTTAAATTTCTTTATCTCCAGACGTAAAGAGTGCCCCTTGTCCTCTGTCATGACCTCAAGGTGAATAACTGTACACTGAGTTCACTATGTGAACCACTGATGTATTTATACATGTTGATCATATTCCCTCCTTAGCAGCTTCCCGTCCGCCCTATAACAGAAATACTGCTACAGGGCGGCACGTGTGCATAAAATCACGCATCTATACGTGATTTTGCATTTCCAGGTAGGGAGCGCGCGCCCTACCTGCACCGCTATTCGTGGCCTCGGCTGTCAATTACCGGGTCCTGGACAGTGATTACCAAGCATCTCCAATGGGGAGGAGGACTGTTTTGTTTACTAACAGTTCTCTTCCCTGTCAGCTCGGGCACTCTGCTTTGGATGGCTGCCATCCAAAGCAGTGTGCTTACAGTGAAGCACACTGACATGGCCACCTAGTAAAACACTCCCTGCACACAGACCTTTGATTGCCCCTCATGTTAACCTATTCCTGCCCAGTGCCATTAGTACAGTGTTGGCACTTTTTTTTTTAGCACTGATCACTGTTTTGGTGTCACTGGGGATGTCAGTGACATCAAGTCAGTTTCCCCCCAGTGTCTGAATGTCCGCTGCAGTCCCGCTATAAGTCGCTGATCGTCGCCATTACTAGTAAAATAGAAATAAAAATTCCAGTATCTATAATGCCATTTGTAAATGCTATAACTTTCACGTTAACCAATTAATTTACATGTACTGGGATTTTTTTTTAGCAAAGACATGTAGCAGAATACATTTTGGCCTAAATTTATGAAGAGATTTGATTTTTTTTTTTTTTTAATTTTACTGGACATGTTTAATAGCAAAAAAGTCAAAAATATTTTTTTTTTCTCAATTGTTGGTCTTTTTTTTTTTTTTTTTCTTTATTTTATTGCGCAAAAAATAAAAAACGAACAGGTGATCAAATACCACCAAATAAAGCTAAATTTGTGGGAAAAAAAGGACTTAAATTTCATTTGGGTGCAACGTTGCATGACCACACAATTGTCAGTTAAAGTAAAAAGTAAAAAAAAAAACGACCTGGCCAGGAAGGGTGGTAAATCCTCAGGAGGGCAAGTGATTATTCTCCTCTTATCAAGAGAGAATAAATTCAGTTCCTCTAATCTTTCCTCATAGCTGAGCTCCTCCATGCCTCTTATCGGTTTGGTTGCCCTTCTCTCTACTTTCTCCAGTTCCCCAATGTTCTTTTTGTGAATTGGTGCCCAAAATTGAACTGCATATTGCAGATGAGAAATTTTGTCCTTTTCTCCGTTCGGAGATGTTTGTTTCACCATGTGCACTAAGGGCCTATTTACACTTGCGACTGGGGGGGCTGAAAAACCAAGCGGCTGAGCCATGTTTTACCAATCTTAAGCTGCAAAGGTAGCTGGACAGTGGTGTGCACATGCTTTATGGCTGTGGTAAAAACTATACCCCTGGTACTGCCTGCCAGACGAGACCCAATTATGTGAATAGAACTCGGAGGTGTAACATTTATATTGTTAAAACAGGTGTATGTCAAATGCCACTGAAAGATGATCCACTGTGGATTGCTTTTCAGAGGTGATTGTGTCTAAACGTAGCCTTTTCTAAAACTAAAAACATTTTTCATTTTTCTTTGCACATGTTCCAAAATCTTTTTGGCAAAAAAAATTTTGTTCAAGAGTCATTATGCCTCATAGTGTTTGCTTTCCAAAATGTGTTCATTTTGTTGTTGTCCTCATCGTCCTGGTGCTTCAGGGCCTTCAAAAGTGTGATAAGTGGTCAGGAAATTATATGTGTAATTTCTTGCTTCTTGAAAGCCCTTCTTGGATTTTGGGCCCCTCTGTTTGGCTAGGCTGTGAAAAAATCTTTTATGTGGTATCTCCTTACTTGGGAGAAGTAGCAGAATATATTTTAGGGTGTAATTACAAGTACAGTATGCCTATGCCATGTGTGATAAATAAGTTGACAGTAAGTAACAGTTGTGTCAGGAATTGTGGGAAAGAATTACAACATCAGAATAATCACCATGCCTCTTACAAAATCCCTCAGGATGTCTACTTTCCAAAAAGGGGTCATTTGCGGGTATTTGTACTGTCCTGGCATTGGCGTGATAGGCCATCAGGATTGATCAAATTTCATATATATATGTACCATAGCTTGTAAACTCTATAACTTGGCTACAGACTGAATAATATGCACTGATTTGAGTTATTTTTCTCAAAGAAATGTAGCAGAATACATTTTGGCCTACATTTGTGAAGAACAATTATTTATATGCAAAATTTTTATAACAAACTAAGAAAAACACTTTTTTTTAAAAAAAAAAAATTTTCAGTCTATTTTCGTTTATATAGCAAAAAGGAAAAAATCCAGTAATGATTAAATACCACCAAAAGAAATGTATATTAAAAAAATAATTTGGGTACAGTGTTGCATGTCTAAGTAACTGTGTTTTAAAAGTCTGAGAAAAGGGGTTGAAAGTGGCCAGTATTTAGGTTGTTAAATAGGATTCAGTATCTGAAGCCTTTGTGCCCACTAAAATGAATGTTTTCATTGTCACAATAGTTCACACCATTTCATTCAATTATTGCAATGCTTTCAAAAAAGCACAGAAGCATACATTTTTTTGATTTGGAATTTATATGAATTTGTTTTTAAACTCCGTGAAACTTGCATAAACCCGTGAAAAAAAAATGGATAAAAGATTTTGTAAAAAAGGCAAAAATAATTATGCCAAACACACCATAAACGTTATAAACCTGTGAAACTGCATACAGAAACTTGCATTGAACGTGCGGTTTGGAATGAGCCCTAAAACAGAACCGGCTTTAACCACAAGCCTACAGGGCACTTATACCCCCTTCCTGCCCAGGCCAATTTCCAGCGCTGTTGCACTTTGAATGACAATTGCGCGGTCGTGCAACACTTTACCCATATGACATTTTTATCATTTTGTTTGTGACAAATAGAGCTTTATTTTGGTGGTATTTAATCAACTCTGTTTTTTTTATTTTTTCATAAACCAAAAACCTCTGAAAATTTTTAAAACAAATGCGCTAATGAGGCTGCAGTGATGGGCACTGATTGGCATTGACAGGCATCACTGATGGGCACTGATAGGCTGCACTGATTGGCATTGACAGGCATCACTGATGGGCACTGTTAGGCGGCACTGACTGGCAGCACTGATAGGCGGCACTGATTGGCATTGATAGGTGGCACTGATGGGTGACACTGAAAGGCAGCTCAGATGGGCACTGATATGTGGCATTGATGTGCACTGATATATGGCACTGATGAGCACTGACAGCTGGCACTGATGGACACTGACAGGTGGCACTGCTGGGGCTACACTGATCATCAGGGCACACTGATCATCAGTGCTCTGATGATCAGTGTACATGTCCCCTCCGCGGAATGCCGATTACCGGCTCTCCTCTCCTCTCGAGCTGTCAGCGTGACAGCTCGAGAGGAGAGAAATGCTGATGACCGGCTTTTCCCTGTTTGATTTGACACAGCTGATCACATGACCGAGCCGACATCTTCGGCTCTTTCTGTGGATTGGTGATCCGCTGTGTCCGAGGGACAGCGCACCGCCGATCGCTGCGCTCCGGGAGCCACGCATGCGCGGTTAGAATGGGAGGACTTCATATGACGTCCTCCCAGAACGAGAGAACCACCTTGCGTCCGTCATATTACTATATGGCGGGTGGAAGGTGGTTAAGGCTACGACACATTAACAAAACTTTGGCCTGTTATCCTCCTGGTGACGGTAATTAAAAATAAAGATAAAGCTCAACTTTGCCCAGCATTCAAAAATAAATACCCCCCATCCCCTAAACTCATTCCTACTTATTAGCGATATGTAGGTCTTTGTTTTTCTTCTTGAAAACATTATTAGGGGGCCTGGTGGTGATGACCAGGCCAAGCCTTTCTGCTTGCTGTTCTTCAACATTCTTGTCACTACCCCTTTTGTCCGTTATCATGCCAGTGGCTACTTCATCAGGATGAGACAAGAGTGCTGCAAAAAATACCTGTCTATGTTTCAAAAGTAGACCAGTCATTGCAGCTGAAACTGCCAAGCAGGAGGGTTACAGGATTGTGGATAAAGGCATTACTGGCTGTTAAAAACTTTATTTTTAAGAAAAAAACTACACATTTCTGGAGGACTGGCTGTAGTTTAAATTAAAAAGAATTAAAAAAAAATTGCACATTGAATACCCACAGACAGGTCACCACAACAGAAACCATTTGGAAAGGAGGTCACA